TCGCTGGGGACCGGTCAGCTGTTCGAGGTGAATTACGATTACAACCAGGTGAAGAACTGGAAGGCGAAGGAGTGGGCTCGGCCCGTCGCTCGAATCTCCGGCGAGGGCTCCGCCGACATGGTGGACCAGGCGGTGGCTATGGCTTTCGGTCAGTCCAAGAGCAGTAATTACGTGCGAATTCAGGTACGGCAATATTCTGTGCTGGCCTGCCCTCCCACATTAAACACTTCGATCAATTCGTAAATTTTTATTTTGGCTTTATTTTTCCTTTTGGTAAATTCTTTTTTGTGTGAAATTATTTTTTTGGGGTGTCGCTGTTGGACATGGATTGATATTGCGGAATAGGGTGCAATTGGTGCTGTGGACAGGCTGTGGGATGGTCAAGAGATTATCCTTCATGAACATGTAGCTCGATTTGTTTGTTTCCCTTTTAGATTTTATTTCTCACCCCCTTCTTCTACCATAGGTTTTCTTTTACATTCTTTTTTTTTTAATCAAATAGTGATGGAGATTCGAATTCATCACGAGTAAAAAGATGGGTATAGATATATGATGATTGAGTACTTAAACGATGCTCAAGTTGACTTGCATATATCTTTTAGGTTGTGTTTGATTATTATTTTGCTTTTAATTTCTTGATTTTGAAAATTATGCTTGTTTGCTTACAGTTTTGATATGTTTCCGCTTTCGTTTTCTTTAAAAAACACTTGATTTCTTAGCCAAGTTTCAAAAACAAAAATTAGTAGGTTTTAGTAATGTTTTAAAAAACTAGATGCAAAACAATCAAAGTAGTGTTTACCGGCTTAATTTTTCATGAAATGGGACCTTTATATTAGTTTTTTTTTTCTCTTTCTACGTTTGCTTAAATTCTGTCCTTTTCATTCAACGATCATTTCTGTAAGCAAGGGTGGATTAAAATTTCAACTCTTTGAGCATTATTCATCTTGCTCTTTGAAAGGAACCGTTCTTCATTTCTGACTTGCCAACTCTGTTGTGAGTTTGAGAAAAGAAAAGGAGACACAACTTTGAAAACAAGGTCTCTATAGATAATCATATTCCTTGTAAGATCTATAATTTCACATTTATTTGGATTGACAAATGAAATTGATTCAAGGGTGTGTGTTATTTCCTCTACTCTAAGGGAACTTAACCGTATTCTATTTGCCCAACTCTTTGCACCAAAATATGGTAAGTTTTGGCACTTTACTTCCTGCAATTTGCAATCTTGGCTCTTAAGATTTGCCCTTCTTTTTAGTATTGATGGAAAAGGTACCCATCGCTGCTATGTCTTCTTACGGAATGCCAATTGTCTTTGTTTAATGCAATTAATTTGCACATCTAAAATTGTCACTTGTCATTGTACCATTACTCTTGCTATATTTTTGGCTTGCATTACCCCAATTTGGGACCCACCATCTCACTAAATTCTTGCTCCATAGGTACTCTTATCATTAACTTTTTAAATTAACTTCTAGCTATCTTTTCAACTATTGTCTTCCCTGCACATAAAATCTTTATTTTCTTTCTTTTGGGACACAACAAAATCAATCATGTAGGGTCTTCACAGAGTTTGTCTTTATTAGAACAGTTGGGAACTGGGGTTTTACCGTGGCTACTATTCCCTACTCCCGTATTGATCAAAGGATATTGAATCATCGACGTCGGTGAATATTTAATTCTCTAATTTTGATTAAAATTTCAATTATTTGTGGGATTGCCAGGCAAATGGATCCAGCATAGTCCAATGTGGCCCAAATGTGGAGACAGATCCAAGTTCCAGCAATGTAAATATGCTGATTGCATTAGCAGAAGAGATGCTGCAACAGAAGAATGTCGAATCCGTTCTCTTTGGAGGCAAGAGGATCGCCGAGCAGACTAATTTTGAGAAACTTGATTGGATTGCTGCAGAACTGGTTCTTGAGCATCAGAGAAGAAGTTGCAGAATAGCTCCTACTGTTGCTTTCAAGCAAGTGTCACCCCAAAACCCTTAGAAACACTCAAGATATAGATCAAGAAGGTAAGCCCTCCCTTTACTCAAAATTCTGTCATTTATATATCTCGTAGCCTTGTGTTATGCTTACGACCCACCTCACTAGTTCTTCGAGAGATATCAAAGGTCTTTTAACTTTGGGAACTTACCTTAAACTTTAGGACTCTGAAATATATCTCCAAACATTCCCACCCCACCAAGGACACCCATTGGGTTAAAAAAATTGCTCTATTTGATTTATCATTTCCTATTTCATGCAGTAGCTTGTAAGGAAGACAATTAGATTAATTTTAATAAAGTAAAAGAAAGAAAAAGCAAAATTCTAAGGGGATCCTATGAACTTTGAGCATATGACAAACCTTGGGTTTGATTTTGTTGTAAGAAAAATGGACAATGAATTATGGAGGGAAGTCACAAGCATGTATATAAGATTTGTCCATTTGTGGGTTTGTTCAGAAAAAGGGTCAAAAGCTAATGAATGAGTTTTTGTTGTTTGGTTTAGCGATTAGAAGATAGATGATGACTTGAGGGAGGCCACCGACACTTGGTAAAGGGGTAGGAGAATGAAGGATATTCTGGTCAATGTCTTTCAAATTGAATAGGGCAAGAGGCAAAACTGCCGGAAGTGAAATCAATTCCTGTACTTCTTTCTGAAATCTGATTATATATATAGCCGTTTTATTAGGTTTGACCAGTGGGAATTACGTTTTTACCCATTTTACCACTGCTTCGGTTGAGGGAAAATTCTGTTTTTCTCATAAAAGTTGCTGTTTTACTGGTACTCTTTTGAGGTTAAGTTACCATTTTAGCCCTTTGATCATAATACTTACCACAAGATTCAAGAACCCTGTTGTTTAGTTAAAATTTTCTTTGGAGTTGGGAAGAGAAGAGTCACTGTAAAAGTCAAAGTTGGGTGAGTCCAACCAAATATTTGCGAGTGGTTGAGAAGATAAAGATTGAACATGTTTAACTTTTTGACAGACAGTAAAGGCAGTAAAACAGGGGAGGGAGTCAGAAGGAAAACCCTCCAAAGGAACATTTTCAAAAGCATAGCTGATAGCACCAACGAAGCTACCAAGTTTGGTCAGATTTTGGGGAGAAGTAAAAGCCTAGCCAATCCTTGCCCCTTCAAGCACGCCTAGCCCCTATATTTCTCATTTTGACCCTCAATTTCTAGCTTCTCTTTTTGAAAACCTTTATTATTTTTTTTTCTTTACAAAAATCAAATCTTGTTTCTTTCCATATAAATAATTGCTCGACCCGATTAAATTTTTAAATGATTCTGACGTAGCTAACGTCGAATGATAGTAGTACCTAGGTTGGCATGATAGTACACAAATTTCCCTATTCTTTTGGCTTCTCGTTCTTTCCTAACCTTTTCTTTCACATGTCACTAAACTCAAAAGTTTAAGTTGATAGGTGATGGTATATTAAATATTTTATGTATATACTTCTAACATTCACCATCATCCCTTTCAGCCCAACAACATGTGGGGTTGATGATGATTTAAACCTCTAACCTTTTAGTCGAAGATCTATGTTTCAACCTTACCCTCAAACTGGCACATTCATCCCCAAGTATCTATCTATCAGTATCAAATTTATTGTAACTCATCAACTTAATCTTTTGGATTGATTGGTGACTTAACATAGTAACGGAACAAAAAGTATCGAACTTTTATACTCCCACACAAACGTGAAGGGGAGTGTTAAGGAATTTACGAAAGATTGAATTTACCGTAGTCTATTAGCTTAAGCTTTAATACTTACCACTAAACTAAAAAACTCAAAGTGGCCAAGTGGATAGATTAGGTTAGATATATTCATTGTTTTTACACACATTCTTAACAGTACTATTAATATCACTTCTCTAGTTTGTAACAACAGTGATGATTTTTGTGTGCAGGGAAAATTACCACCTGTTAAAGGAGAGAGAGAGGAAAAAGAAGCAACTTTTTATTTAATTTGTTTTCTTTGTATTGTGCATGTGGAAATAGGAAGAAGTTGAAGGAAAAGGACAAGAGAAGAAGTGGAAAATCTTAGTGGGATATTTTGCCTGCCTAAGGCAAGGCAAGGCAAGGCAAAGGCAAAGGCAAAGGCACTGTGGTGTCCACTCCACTCTTTGTTTTACAAAACTGAAAAACACCATTCATTCAGTTCAGACTTAAAGATCTCAAAGCTTTTGGATTTGGCAACTCAAACAAAATATATTTCAGGTCTGAAAATTAGAATCCCCTTCTTTTCTTCTTCACAAAATCTCATTTCCAGGCCTCTGTTTCTGTCCTCTCCTTTTTTCCTTTTCAATCCCTTTCATTATTATTTATTTCACAATATATATATATATTTTTTCGGCAATTTTAATTTCTTTCTTTTTTCAGCGACCGACAGTTTCCATTATATCAAACCAAAATGGCAACTTTATATATATATATATATGTATGTATATGACATGTGGGCCCCATTCTTTGATGAGACAGAAAATTAGATTTCTCATTTCTTTTTCTTTTTCTTTTTCCCTTTTTTTCCTTATTTTACTATCCAGTCCTTTTGAAGTGCCTGCTCTGAAGCAACATAATCCCCAATGCACCTCTCTCTGTCCTCTGTTTCGTTTCATTTCCCTTTTTAAACTTGTATATGTTTGTAATTAGCAAATGGTTCCCAGAGAAATTGGTGTCAGATTTTTATTGAAGACCATTTATGTCCTCAGCTGTTTATTTAAGACCGTTGATATTTTTCTGTCTCTCTGAACTTATGAGCTTATGATGATTGGATGGTGCTTGATTGATAGAGTGGAATTTACTATTACTTTCATTCATTGGAATGTTAATATATTATTTGTGGTTCGTCTAATAATCATTTTGTTTTTAATTTTCAGTTTCTAGAAACTAAATTTGTCAACACTATCTTTACCTATGTATTTTTTTTGTTATCTATTCTTTAAAAATATTCTTAAAATCTACGTTAAAATTCAAATTTATTTTTAAAAGAAGGGCATATCATACAAAAAAAAAGTAAAAACAAAATGTTTATCAAATATCGCCTAAGGAAAAAGAAGTTGTCAAAAGTACAACATGTGGGGGTGGTGGATTGAACTAACAATCTTTTGGTTATAGGTATATGTCAATTATSGGTTAAGTTATATTCGCTCTAACATCAAAAATCACTTTTTAATCCATACTTTCGTTGAAATAACAATTTAACTTCTGAACTTTAGTTTGTAATGAATTAGTTCTTCTACTCTTAAATTTGTAATAATTTAGTTYATAAACTTTAGCATGTAACAATTTATTTCCAATAGTTTGAAATTTGTAATATTTTTTCTTTGAGATAAAATTTGTAATAATTTAATCCATATCGTAAAAAATGTTGGCAATATTTAATGAAGTTTTTTATATATGTTTATCCCTAAAATGGTAATGGACTGTGTTTGTGAATTACAAAAGCTTAAATTGTTAAAAAATAAATTGTTATGTAAAGTTTAAAAGTTAAATTGTCCCAAAATTGGAAAGTAGCGGAAGTTGGTGGATTTGGTTGGTAGATTTTTGGTACCATGCGCATGGCCTTGGTTTTGGCATGCCTTTTGAAAAAGATGACATTTTATTGGTTTTCTGATTCCTTTTATCTCTTTTTATTTTTTCCCCATTCATTATTGCGAAATATGAAGGTGGGAAGTTTTTAAAAAGTCAAAAGCTTTTGTTCTTGCAGGCCTTTCTTTCGACCTCAATTTTTTATGCGCATGAAAGCTTTGTATAAAAAGAAACCCAACAAATGTATTCTTCTTGCTCAAGAAAACCATGGGATATGTTAAATAATTATGTAAAAGTGTATTGATGATCATAGTGTTCCTGTTGGGTGTAGAGAACTAAGTAAAAATTGGACCCATAGCATGAAATTTCGAATATAGAATTTTCGAGTACTTTATTTTGTAAAGTTTAGAATTTAAAATAAAATATTCAATGCTGTGAACTAAAATAGAATTATGTATGTTTGTGGACTAATTTGAAATGTCCAATGTGGTTTAACTAGTTAAAGGGATAAGATACTTATTACTTTTCTTTCATAAGGTTGAAGGTTCGAATTTCCGTATTCACATCGTTTAATTAAAAAGAATGAAAAAAAAAGAGAAAAGATTCAACTTTCCATCCGTTGTTAAACTATTAAAAAACATATATATATATAATTTATTCATGGTTGTGGAGATTTTTTACCTTATTTTAAGATGATTAATGCAAATTAACTACTGAGTTAGGTCGAAATTAATTGTTTTCCATTACTATTAAAAGGAGAGATTTTTGAAATTGTAACATCTCTAAACTTAGATCAATATTCACGATTCTAAATTTCAATTAAGAAATTCAAAATTTTTAATTAGTTTAACAATGTGGATGTGGAAGATAAAATATTTATCTATAGAAATAGTAATAGATGTCTTATCTACTCGGCCATGCTTAAACTTGCTAGCACATTTAAGTTAGTTTAACATTTTCTTTGTAGGTTCGTGTTGATGTTGGATTCTAAATGAAGTGATATCCACGGTGAGTTCTTTTGACTCAGCTAAACGGAGCGAACTATACAAAAGAAACATGTACGCAATGAACAAACACTCTAACACTCAAGTTAGTTTAAGGCTTGATTTATACAACGGTGAGTTCTTTTGACTGAGCTAAACGGAGCGAACTATACAAAAGAAACATGCACGCAATGAACAAACACTGACACCCAAGTCAGTTTAAGGCGTGATTTATACAAGTTCGTTCAAAATAGAATTGCATTACCGGTAGACTAAGTGCGAGAGTGTGGGTGTTATAGGAGTTGAGGGAAAATATTGTTACAAAGACAAGTGGTTTCATCTCATAGTTCGATGTCCACATGTCGAAGGACATTTTGCAAAAGTGCAAGCTATATAGACCGATAGGTCTTCATTGATAGACTATTAGTCAGGTATCAAGCTATTCAAAGGCAAACTATTTTAGTCAATTTTATATTATTCTAAAAATAGAAATTATGGAATTTTCTAAATTTGCATCAATCAAATTAGAATGCAATGAGTATAATGTAATTAGCCCCAAATTAAGCGAACATTACTCCGCATAATCTGGCTTTTTAAAAAGGTAAAATCACGGACCTAACCTAGTAACCAAAGAACAATTTACTGTTGTAATTACTGCCCGTGTTGCTCCTTTTCACTGTTCTGAGTTAATTATATTTCTACTTTGGGGACCGAATAGTCCAATCTCTTTCAATCTATATCACCAAAAGTTATTGAAAAAGAAAGTTAAAGAAACTGCTTTCCCCCTCCAATTTGACACTTGTTTTGCTTTTGATGCACAGCACCTGCAATGATTTAAATATTATAAATTAACAAAACAAAAAAAAAGTATATATATATAATTTTTTTTTAAGATTCTGCTGCTTTCATCAAATTAAACCTTAAAAGTTAAAACAAAGGGGTGAAAATAATCTCTCTTTCCGATCTAAATTAAAAAATTACTCAAAACCAATGGCACAGAATCAAAACATCTGAATTTAGTCACAAAATCTAGGTAAAAAAGTTCAGACTCAACATTAAAATGTTTAATGGCTGCTATTCATAGTGTATTTTATCAAGAAGTTACCACAAGCATTTCAACTAGCCACAAATCAATAAAAAAGAAAACTCAATTATTAAGGCGTATTAATTTCATCACGGGAAGAGTTTCCCAATTTAGTATCTGAATGAGTAGAAAATATTTTCATTTTAATAAAAAATTGAAGTCATGAGTAATTTTTTAGAGTCAAATAGATTAATCACTAAGGTTAAGGATCCTATATTCATAAGATAAGTGTGTCAAAAAATATATATACCAATAAGATAAGGGACTTAACACGAGTTTATAATAGACATGAACTACTTCTCAGATTGTCAGTTGATTTTGAAATAGAACCCTTGAATATTAATATGGTATCAAAAACCCAAAACGATTCTATTAAAAAAAAATCATTTGCTAATATGACGGGGTTTATTCGTACCCCACTTGTATCTTTATCAAAAACAAATTAATGGTTGATCAATATTTTATATAGGATGCAAAATGATGTGACATAAATTTATTAATTCATCAAATAGAGACAATATTATCAAATAATTGAACCTCAAACCAATATTATTGTGTCACACATTATTTTATCAAATAAATTACGTAAGCTTCTAAAACAATGTTCAAAGTTTTGTCGATCATCGATCGCAATCAAATCTTATTCTCTACCTGAAACAATCCTTGATCTTTGTCTCTTTTTTTTAGCTTTATAAACGAGACATAAACCTCAATCACTCAATTATATATGTAATTTAGTGTAGTTTTTGCTTTTGGCGGACAAATAATTGATTAAAAAAATAAAATTATTGTTTTGGTCAATAAATAATTGGTTATGACTAAACCTTGTGTAATTGAATTGGCATCAACTTTTTTGGTATTTTATAATGATTAAAGAAGCTTATCCCTTCTGCACATCAATGAATCCAATTTATCACCTTCCACATCCTGTCCCCCTCCAACTGATCAAACATAACATCATTTCTTTGACAAATTAATAACAGTAATTTAATTTGATTAACAGATATTTCTTTTAGGTTGAAATTCGAATTCATAATATTTTGGTGGGAAAAATAAACGCTATAAAACAGTTGAATTATAAGAATTTGGCCAAAGAAAAGGAAAAAATGGCTATAGAGAACCTTTTGAGTTCAAATTCAACCATAAATGTGCTTTGGCTTAATTTTTCTCTTCTTGAGCGTGCTTAGTTAAATTATAAGTTTAGTTCCTTGTTTGTGTTTAATAAATTTTTTAATTTTGAAGATTGTTTAATAGGTCTCTCCACTTTTAATTTTGGGTCGATTAGGTTTCTAAATTTTAAAATATTGTCAATTAATAGGTCTCTAAATTTTAAAAAATATCTAATAATACATCTCTAAATTTTCAATTTTGTATTTAATAGATCACTAATCTAACCATCATTTTTTAAAATCCACAAACTTATTAAACACAAATTAAAAGTTTAAGATTATATTTTATGAAAAAAAATCAATTTTAGATCCAATAGATTAATGAATTTTTAAAATGACAAATTTCTAAAAAATTTATTAGACACAAAAATTGAAAATTAAAAAATCTGTTAGATATTTTTTTAAGTCAAGAGACCTATCAGAAATAAATATGAAAGTTCAAAAACTAAACTAATAATCTAACCTAATATTTTATATTACAATCATTGTAGGGTAAAAATTAAGTTCAAGATAACCATTTAGCTATCTGCTTTGTTTATATAAAAGAATTTCAATATCGTCATTTATGTTTAATTTTTGTGAATCAAGTCTTTTCCTTTCTTTAGTTTATTTAGTTATTTCATCAACCACTCGACAATTTAACTAAGTTATAATTACTTTATGTTTTAATTTTATGAGTTCGATACGTTGAATATTTATAAAGTCGCAAATCTAGTACATGCTTTATATATCAATGCAAGCTGACTTATTTGACCCGAAACAAGTTCAAAATACTATTATGCTAACAACTAACCAGCACGAGAACGATAGAGGAAAGAAAAACAAAAAAGATAATTCTTTTTAGTCTCAAACCAAATGGCTTAATGCTTCAAACCAAGGCTGGAAATTGTATGGGCTCTTGCAAGTCTTGATTGATGGGAAACAAATTGCACTGTCCATGCTGCGCCATCAATTGGTCCACAAGCACAAGCGACACCATTGCTTCTACTATAGGCACGGCTGCACCAGATTTCCAATTTATAAACTCATAAATTAATTTAATTGTGAATCGACGAAAATGACCCTATGCATGTATTGCATTGTTTTGATGACTACCTCGTGGGACGACGCATGGATCATGGCAATCGAGAGCCTTCAATTCGACCTCTCTTTTGTCTCTTGTTACTGTTTGTTGCTTCCTCTATCAAAATGTAAAAAGACGTTAATCTACATCATACTATAAAAATTTAATCATTTTTAATATATTTTCATTGAAAAAATTTAGAAAAGAGAGGGATCGAGATTTGGAGTCGGTCCAAGTGCGACGATATGTGCATAGACTTACTCCGATTGTGGCTATTGGCTTGAAAGCTACTCTCATGACTATAACTTCTCCATTAGATATTCCTCCCTACAATCGTTCACCCAAATCCATTAAAAAAAAGGTGAGTAAAACATATGCGAATTACCCTTATTAATAAAGGAAATATATATAAATTGTAAAAATAAAAAACTGCGAAACAAAAATTATTATCAAACGGATTTTAAATATGTGTTCGAGAATACTTGTATTCCACCAGATTGATTGGTTCTCGTTCTGATTCTTCCATCTTTATCAACAAAGAAAGGATCGTTATGTTGACTCCCTGTCAAGAAAGTGCCTGCAAATCAGAGACTTTTGTATTAGTTTTGCAAAAAAGGAAAAAATTAATTTTTTCTCAAAATTACAAAAATACAAATGAAGTAATTTAGTTGGCGCTGAGAGATATGACCAGCAAAGCCACTGCCAATATGAAAGCCTTTAGAGGCAGGAATTGACATGAGAGCTTTAGCAAGCTCAGCCTCAAGTTTGTCAAACACTGGCGAACCCAGCCCCTGTAAACAACAAACGTTACCGTTTGCGTTTTAGAGTAAGTTTAGAATGACTTTTAAAATGTTGACGAGTATTTTTTTGTCTAATTAGAAGTATTTTTAATTTTTTTTTGTAGTAATTGGTTATGTAATTCTAAGTTTTTAAGAAAACACTAGGAGAGAGACAGATTACAAACACGTGGACAATTCTTGATAATACATGTAACAACACCACCAATGGAGTCTCCTACTGCATGGACCGTATCAATAGCAGCCATCATCTTCTCTTCATATTCAGGGACTGGACATCTCACCACACTTCTATCTACCTGCATTTACAATTTTGTGTCTAATAGATCATCGTCCTACATGATATGTTGGACTATATTATTTTTTACTATTACATGACGGTTGATTTAAATAGGTTTATTAAGATCTAAGAATACAAAAATTGAAATGACACGACGCTATTCTTATCAAATACTTTTTAAAAAAGAAAAATTGAATAGATATTTAGAGACCAAGTTATAACTTAACCCTTTTTTTTCACTACTCATCAACCTTTACAAATCATAAATTCTAGTGACAAATTATGTTGTGTTTCTTCACAGTTTCTTTAGTTTATTTTATGCTTTCTCGAAAATACACTTAAATTATTAGTCAAATTTAAAAAAGTAAAAACAAAATTTTAGAAATCTTCCTTTCTTTTTTAAATTCTGTTTTTAAAACTAGGTTTTGAAAAGGTTTTCTAAATGTAAACAACACGCCACAGAAATATATGGATGAAAATAGTATTTACAAGTTAAGCTTCTAAAAATAAATAAACATCAAAATATCAAAAAGAGGTTCAAGGTTGTTATGGGATTGGATCTGGCTAAGGAAATGGGCCTCTCCAGACCAGAGAGGCCCAAACCTAGCGACAGACTGAGCAAGTCGAGGCTCGGACCCGACCCCGACTCGGCTTGATTGACCGAGCCCACTTTCACTCCTCTCCCGTTGGGTGAGGTGCCCCGGTCCATGAATCCCTGTAATCCAGTAACGATCGATAGATGGACTCAATGAGAAGGTTTCATAAGACAAAACTACTGTAAATGGAACCACTCGCTCCACCCTGAAGGTAAGCAAATAAACCCTAAGTACTTCATAGTAATTCTCCCATCGCCGATTTAAACATCGGAGCCAGTGTGTGACTGAAGTCACATCGGGTTAAAGTTGTTTGGTCTTGCAAGCATCTGATCCCTTATTATCGAGCTTGGTACACATTTGACGAGGACCAAAGATGCCAAATTTCCCGTATCAACAAAGGTATAAAAATTCAAATATTTTCTAATACAACATTAAGATGTAGGAATTTAGACCTTAATCTCAAATAAATGAGTTAATTATATATCTGTACTGCTGAGCTATATCTGTAACTCAATAATTCCTTTGAACAATTCAAACATAGTTTAATAAACTAGAATTTATTAAAACAGTAACCATACCTCATCTTGTGTTAGACAATTGTAATCAACCATACCCTCTGGAATAACAACATCGTGGACTTGAGAGGCAAACCCAATAATCTAATGAAAAATTAAAAAAATTAAAATTAAAATTAAAAATCGATTTAAATTAGGAAGAAAAAAAGAATGATGTTAAATTAAAGGTAGCTTAATTTAGCTGGCTAATTAAGAAGAAATACCTCGGTTCCAGAAAGTTCCTTGAGAATTTTCTTAGCAACAGCTCCCGCTGCCACTCTTCCAACGGTTTCTCTAGCTGAAGCTCTCCCACCACCCTTCGAAATAAAACCTTTTTAAATATAACAAAGGATAAATCATACTCATTCCACTCAAAATGAATTGTCTAATTTTCATTTATACCCTTCAAATTTTGCAGCATTTCAAAAATCACCCTCAATATTAACTCCACTGACCCTATAATACCATATTAAATGATCAATATTCATGAGATTCATCTAATCTCATAATCAATTGACAATAGAAGGAGAAGGCCTTGCATCTTATAAATTTGGCTAAATCTCTTTAACATACCCTTCAAGATGGTGGCTGTTTTCAACTCACTAATCTTAAGTGAATTACTCGTTTGAGGTTGGTAGAATCTGATATAAACTACCAATCAGTCTAAAAAATTAGGCAAATAGATTACGATAAATTTAAGATATCTTTTAACATCTCCCAAAGTCAAAGGAGTAATTGGCATATATCTCAACCATAATTAGCACATATTCTTACATTTTTTAGACTTAACCATAATTGACATATATCTCCAAAAAAAATCTCCCAAAAGAAAAATGCAAAATAATTTTGAAAACAATTAAAAAGGGTGAGAATGATGAAATATCATTAATGTCAATATTAATTGGTAGAGTTAATTAATTAATTAATTACCTCAACGGCTCGAACTCCATACTTCATATCATAAGTTGCGTCGGCATGAGATGGCCTATAAACCATTGACATTTCATTGTAATCCTGTATGTATAATCCAGTCAGTTAAAATAAATTACTGCTCGTGGTAATTAATTAAATTTATATTACGCCAATTTAAAAATTTTTATTTTATAAAAAGGAGATTTCAAGCTATGATTAAAGAGGAAATATTAATTCTTAGAAGATGTAAATAATTTCCTATATTACTTACATGCCTACTTTTTTCTGTATTGGGTACAAAGATGAGAATAGGTGTTCCCGTGGTCACGCCTGAATGCATCATATGTTCATGACGTTTAGTATATGAGTGAAACTTATATATATACGAGGAAAATATGATATTTTGAATAAATTAAAATCAATATTTTAATTGTCAGAGTGAACATAGCTCGATGATAATTAGTATATATCTCCAACTGTGAGTTTAATCACTCGCTCCTATATATTGTACTAAAGCCTATTTCAATTAATGGTGTCAAAAACTAACACAAAGTTTTTTTTATTTATAAGAGCTTTTTTTTGTTGACATTTTTATAAGAGCTATTCATGGATGACATATATAAAGTTTAAAATTATAAATTTAATCTATGAACTTTTAAATTTGTGTATAATAAGTTAAGTTAAAAAATTGTTGTTTCTAGACTTTCAATTTTGTGTCTAACAAGTCTTTGACATATTCAACATATTTTTTAAAGTTCCATATGTATCTATTAGACATAGAATTTAATTTTGTGTCTAATAAGACCATTAAATTTAATTTTGTGTCAAATAAATCTACGAATTCTAAGAAATTTCGACTAAGTCAATGACCTATTAGACACAAAATTAAAAATTTATAGATCTATTGGATACAAAATTGAAAGTCTTAAAATTTATTAGACACTCTTGAAATTCATAGATCTAGTAAATACATAATTAAAAATTCAGAGACATATTAAATATTTTTAAAGTTGAGTGGACTAAACTTGTAATTTAACCTCCGTACAATTTAAAACAAGCATAATGTAAGACCCGTTAAATCTCTCTTTTTTTTTTTTGACATAAGTTAAATCTATTTTAAATTATATATGATTTGAATGGAGATTTTAACGCTATATCTGAAAAAAAAACACAAAAATCAAAAGAAAACAAAAGAAAAAGAGAAAATATATATATCAAACCATCGGTAACTCCTGAAAGTATACGGCAGGTATCAGTCTCATTTCTGTTGGTTGTAGTTCGACCCTCCTGACCTGTTCTCCTGATAATGCCATTAGATCGTTTATTTATATAAATACATCTTTTTTTTTTCTTTTGTATATTTTCAAATATTTTATATAAATTTTAAATGTCAACATATGTGATAATAACTGCGAAGAAATTGACATTCAAATTAGGGGCGTCATTTTTTCCCCAGGAACATGCCATAAACGGGGCGAAGAAAAATAATAATAATGGAGATTTTTCCTCTTCCCCTCGTTACTTAGTCCCTTTCTTTTTATGTTTTATCGTTTTCTCTGGAAAAATAAATAAATAAAAAATAATAATAAAATTAAAAGTCAATAAGAAAATTAAAGACCCATTGAGTACTTTTCATGTAATTAATACGTTATTTTGATTTTTGTTTATTATTAGGGAGAGGAGCAACAATTATTTCAATAATCATAATTAGGTATACAATTGAGAGAATATACGACCATATTTGTTGTACTAAAAGAAAAGAAAACGAAAAATATATGTCGAATCGAGCATATTTCAAAGAGTTAAAACATCTATCTTGGATAAAAAAGTAAACGTAAAAAATATTGCATAATTAATTTTATTTTACAGATCATACCTTTTAATAATTATTTTTTTTTATTAAAAAGATCAACCTTTCAACCGAATCAAATGAATGTTCACATGGGAACGATGGGACGGGGAAGCCTTCCCATTCCTGCTCCATTTCAATTCTCATCCCTATGAAATTTTCTATTATATTTTACGGGAATTATTCTCCGTTTATTATATTTCTTGTTATTTCAAATGATTTCTCCATTAAATAATTTTTTTTTAAAATTTCTAATTAAATGCTTAGAATAATATAACAAATTTTTACTTTAAAAAATCTGAGAAAGGAAATAAACTGGAAATTATGGTTTGTATAACTGACATTTGTAGATCCAACAATGTAAACTTGGGGGAACAAAAAAGGAAAACTGTTCGAAAATCCAATCAAAAGAGTAGAGGCAGAGCAGTACCTTCTGTTGAGCTCCGCCTGCAAATCCGGTTCGGAGAGGCGGCGGCGGGGAGGACAGCCGTCGATGACGCAGCCGACGCCGCCGCCGTGCGACTCCCCGAACGTCGTGACGCGAAAGTAAGTGCCGA